ATTGACTTCTATCACATCCTTATGGAAGTTCCATTATGTGTTAAGTCGACTTTAACATACATGATTAGGATGGTGAAAAGGCAAAGTAAACACTACCCGAGAAAGAATTTATATGAATAATTGGAAGTAAAATTTCTATCGACCTATGAAAAAGTATTAGAATATGCTAGATCGAGCATATGCATGAGAAGAATCCTAGAAGGCGACTATAGGTAATCCAAGATATGTTTGATAGAAACGCGAAAACCCTAGTTGAGTATAGGAGAAATTGTTGTATGTATTTGTTTGAACACATTCATGTGTGATAAGTTGCTTTGTGATTTTGAATGGTGACTTGGAAAACTACGAGACAATACTTGGGACGAGTATGAGTATGTGTGAATAGTAGTAGAGGCCTATACTACTGGAAGCACAAGACTCACACTTGGATCAGGGAAATTCACAAGGTTACCAAGAAACTAGTAATCGATTCCGTTTTTGTTTGAGTATGTCATTACCTTCGTTTCGGTGATGACTAAGAAGATGATTTTCGTTCAGACCTTATTGGTCATAAAGAATCGAGTCCGATTAATATAAATCTGTGAAGTGAGTTGATTGGTTCAAAGAACCATGTCTTGTGTAGTGATGAAATTTCAGTCAGAAGATTGAAGAAGGAGATCGTGAACGAAAGAACGATTGATCTATTTAATAAAGAAGTAGAGTTAGTGCTTATTAAGTGGAATCATCATCGAGGCCCAAATTATACTTTAGAAAGTAAGAATGAGATAAGAACGAAATATACCCAGTTATTTAAATCGATGTGATTTCGGGGACGAAATCCTCAAAAGGAGGAGGTATTTGTAACATACACGTTCAGTTATCGTGTTATGTATTTTTAAAAGTGAAAAAAAAATATAATGAAATATTATATAAATTTGAGCGTTGAGTTCTAACAGATATTTTTTACTAGAAATGAAGTAAAATTATGTTTAGAATCACTCGGAAAATATTGGAAGTTTTATGAGATTCCAATTAAAAGTCAAATATCGAAATTTAACGAAAATATAAAATTTGAAATAAGTATAATTTTATTACTAAAAGTTGTAGATAATTTTGTAGAAACATTTAGGCGAAAACCTCATCGAAATCCGAGTTATAACGAAGAAGTTATGACCAATCGAAGATTAGCAACAAAACCGGCACGACACCGAATGACGTAAAAAGTGAGTTTTCGATAAACTACTTTTTAGCCTTAGTGATCTAAACGAAAGTCATAGTATTCGTTAAACCGAGAACTTCCATAAAAATAACTTCCAAATCTGACTTCGTATGAGGAAGTTATTATTTTTCTATGTTTCGGAATAGCAGTAGACAACTAAAAACTCGAAATAAAGATCGAGTGATTTTTAGCCGACGCAACCTAAACATGAATCGAAGGTTTCATCAATAGTAGTACAACGGTAAAAAGACAGACGAAAATGGACATCGGATGAAGAAGTTATGAATTTTTAATGGATTTTCCTGTCCCGGTCATATAAAGAACGTCAAAAACGGAGCTCGTATACGAAAGTTATGGATTTTAGAAATTGGGACACAAAAATCGAGAAAATCCCAAAAACCGAGGAATTTCGCATGGCTCAGGTTCGGCCACGTCGCCCCATCTCGCATGCCTGCCCCGTGTCCAATCTCGGTGAGTCATCCGAAGTGCTGGACCATTCCGAAGACGACGCGTGTCCACCACCTGTCTCGGCCTCGCATCCGATGCGTGTAGCCTCGCGAGTCCGACGCCTGTCCTTCTTATCCCCTCCGGATCCGAGCCTCGCATCTGCTGCCGCGTGGAGCCCTCTCAGCCGCTGATCTTCGGTCTCGCACCCTATAAAAGGGGGGGGGTTGCGAGATCTCCCGGGTAATGTTTGATTTTTGCCCCTTTTTCACCCCTAAACTTTATTTTAAGCCATTTTTAATCCCCCGAAGCCCCGAAATCATTCCTAACACCCAAAATATGTTCCGAAGTGCCCGAGAAGCCCGAGAAATTTATATTTTCGGTTTGAATCTCAACCTTCGCAATGCCCATTTTTCAATAAAACTCCCGGTTTTCAACGAAGGAACTTTATTATTGTAATGAAGTGCTGCACAAATTACTATTTTAACCCCCAGTTATTTCACGGTGAGTTCAATATATAGGAACAATTGTGTGTTATGTGTTATATGTGCTATTTGCTTTCCTGAGTTATTTTGGTTTTATACTGTTGATCATGTAGAGCATGTCTCGTATCACTTCTGGTATTGGCTTTGAGCCTCTGGCCATGTAGAGCATGTCTCGTATTATTCTGGTATCGGATTTATGCCTTTGGCCATGTAGAGCATGTCTCGTATCACTTATGGTATTGGCTTTGTGCCTTTGTCCATGTAGAGCATGACTCGTATAACTTCTGGTATTGGCATAGGGCTATGTAGGGTTGAAAGCCTGTATATTCTAGCAAAATGATAATCATAAATTGCATGTTTTCTGTGCCATTTGGGCCGAAGTGTTATTGATGTATATCAAGCATTGGAAATTGTTATGTATCGTTGATTGTATATCTTTGAATCAAATCATCGAATGATATGGAAAGTTTGTTGCATGATTCACATATGCCTTTGTTGTTCCTTGTTTCCCTTTGCTTCTGCCATATTGAAGTATATATATGGCATAACGTTATATTGTATCTATTATTGAACTCACTAAGCGTCACCGCTTACCCTTCTCAATGTTTAACAAATTGCAGGAGATAAGTAACCAGTATAGTCGTATACTGTTGGAAGGTTTAGAATAGTTATAATATTACTTTTGTATTTAGGGATCATGTATGTATAAAAGTATAGTATCCTGGGTAGTTGTGTAATATATAACACTTTGTAATAGTCGGTTTGTATCCAGTCTTATGTAAACAAGTTATCAATGTAAAATATTATTTATGAATATGCAAGTAGCATGTTTTGGTGTAACAATTGTCAAATATGAAAGTGTGGGTCTTTCAATTGATGACATGGCGGAATTGTATTTAAGTCTTGGACCAAAACGACGTCGTTTTGGAATGTGAAACGTAGAGGCCACGTTCACACTGTTCACCCGCCTCCGTATAAAATGTGAAGCTTGTGCCCTAAAATGGCAAAATTCATAACCTGGTTACCCCGACTGCATCGTAAACTTTGATACCAATCGCAGAAACGATGCCTTCACGATCATCTCAAGATCACAGTTGGTCACCCAACTACAATCGGCACATGACTAAAAATGTCTTGAATGGAGTCACAAATGAAGACCTGGCGATCAATCTGCTGCAGACACAGTTGGAGGTGTCGCTTGTGAGGGAAGAGATTGCAAACGACCTTCGTGAACTACGACGCAGCCTCACTAGAGAGATGGACGCCCTAAATCATGAAGTCGATGATATTAGGGTAGGTCAACTCGATCTATCTAACATGGTTGCTGATTTGAAGAATCATTTATGTTCATTGCAAGCGTCGTATGTCAACATTGTTCTGGGAAAAAAGAAGTCGAAGAAATTGAAATGGGTCTTTAGGGTTTTTGCCGTTGCTGTTATGAGGGTTTTAACCTACAGGTTGTTTAAATGACAGAAGAACTTTTGGTTAAACATTTCAATCCTGGGTTTCTATTTTGATTGGATGTGCATCTTGTTTATTCTCCCTATTAGTAACGGGTTTTGTTGGTTGTCTTTTGGTTTGTGTGGTGTAGTATTTGGTGGTTTTGTGATCATGATGTTGTGATTATCAGTATTTTGATGGTAGTCATAGGTGATGGTTCTCGTATGTACTTAGATAGTTGTGGAAATATTGTTATAACTTGTTCAATAGATGTAAAGATGCAAAAACCCATGAATGAAATGTTGATTAGATTAACTTGTTCCTGTTATAAATGGAGTACTCTTATAAATGTAAATTTGCATGTGTCGTGAAGTAGTAGGCATTTTTATGTTGATTTTGTTCTTGGGACCACATGGAACAGTCAAACTTTTTATACCATTAAAACATGAACCCCAATGTTTGTTTGTGGGGACATGGGACAAAAGAGAAGAATCTAATACCTAGATTTGTCGTTGCTTATAACCCGGAAATGGAAAACAATGAAAAGTGCTTTTTTGTTGTATTTGTGATTGCCCACTTTGAATTATTGCCTGGAAGAAATGAAATACCCCTAATGGGTTAAGTCAAATAATAAAGTTATGACTGAAATACCCCTAGTGGGTTAAGTGACATAATCAATATTGACTGAAATACCCATAGTGGTTTAAGTGACATAATATATATCGACTGAAATACCCCTAGTGGGTTAAGTTACATAATAAATATTGATTGAAATACCCCTAGTGGGTTTAGTAAAATAAAAAATAATGACAAAAATACCCCTAGTTCTTTAACTAATTAAAATGAGAGTAATACACCTTAGGGGACTGTATGTAATTTAACCTCTTTGTTTGACTAAAATACCCCTACTACTTTATTAATTACTTGAAATAACATACACCAATTGGATTAACTCATTCGAATGACTAAATTACCCCTAAACTAACATTCACATGCCCTCTTTTACCAATTAGAATGAAACTAATACACCTAGGGGGATTGTATGTAATTTAACTTCTTTGATTGACTAAAATACCCTTACTTTAATAAGTACATGAAATACCATACACCTATTGTATTAACTGATTCAAATGACTAAAATAACCCTACTTTAATAATAACATGTCCCATAACAGACACACAATTAGAAGTGTAATTAATCTACTTTGGTTGACTAAAATACCCTACTCTAATAATACCATTGACATGCCCTCCTGAAAAAATGTTAATGACTAAATTACCCCGTACGCACTAATATAAATAAGACCATACATATTATAAATACAAACACGCATCCAAATATCAAATGTTAAGATTGTTATAACATACATCAACATAGCAAAGATAAATTCCCCTGTTCAATCCACATAACAGACACACAATTAGAAGTGTAATTAATCTAACTCCATTGGCGATCCAACACTACTACCTTCACCTTCAACTCTTTTACCAAGCTTTAGCTTAAGAATTCTCTCTGACTTTTTCCTCTTGCTTGGTTGACCCGTAGTATTCACTTGCCTAACAACTCGATTAAACCTTCCCCGTTCCTTAGCTTCATTAACCCTCACCACTTGATCAGATTTTTTTACCCTCATAACTTCATCAGTTTGTGGCTCAACTGCATCACCCATCACAACATCTTCTCCACCCCCTTGCATATTCACGGATTCTTGTGTTTGCATGATTTTTTGTTTCTTTGTGACATTAGTTTTAGGTGGCCTTGGCACTTTAGTGCAAGTGGTCTTGTTGTGCCCTTTCTCTTTGAATATGTCACAATAAACCTTTTTCCTTGCCTCTGAAACAATGTGTTTTCCAGACCTTTCAAAAGCATCCCTTATTCTTATGACTGTTGGCCTGCCTGGCATTCTTCTTTTTAAAGGAGACAATGGAGGTGTAAAGGTTGTTGAAGGCCACATGTTCATCCCATTCATGCCACTAATAGAATTTTGTAAGTATTATGGAAGAAGGCTGCCAGGTACAAAGGGTCTACATATGGCCCATCAGGTGTTACGTCTAAAAACGCTAATGTAGCTACTGAATGAACACAAACATACCCATTTAGTTGCCATAACCTACAACTGCATTCCTTTTTTATGACATCAACAATGTATGACTCATCTATTTTCCTTGTTTTAAACTCCATAATCCCACAAGACACAACCTGCCAATGCCTACATAAAGTAATGCAAATTTTAGAGTTGACAGAGGTAAGTTATGTATGAAAAAAAGTGTGCATACCTTTGCTCATTCTGTAGAATATTCAATCTTGTTCAGATGTTTGGACAAACAGAATAACGATTCCATCCTTGACCTGTCAGTTTCATAGTGACCATCCTTTGCATGACATATATACGAATGTCCTCCAACATGCTGATAATAGGTTTCTTCCTAGCATCCAAAATGACACTATTAAAGCTCGCTGAAAATCCATTCTCCACAGCTTCACATGATAAATGGTGAACTCTAAAAAAAGCTAGAGACCAAGTCTTTGGATCTCTATCCATAAGATGCTTAACCGCTTAAGGATTCAAATTTTCAATATCTTTTATGGTTGTGTTAAAATGTGCTTCAGTTGTTGCCTTTCTTGCTCTCCAAAACAAAATTTCAAACTTGGCTCCACTAAACCTCTTTCTAAAATTAGCATATATATGCCTAGCACACTGCCTATGTTCTGCTGCTGGGAATACTTCTTTTACTGCCTCAACCAAACCCTGCATATGTACCAGTAATAGGTGAAGTTAGAAATGTAAATATTTATTATATTATGTTAAATACTTTACAAACATACCTTGTGTTGATCAGAAATTAAGACCAAACCACTTCCATCATTCCAACATTGCAAATCTTCTGCAAGATTTTCAATGAACCATTTCCAATTCTCTTTGTTTTCCACACATACAACTGCCCAAGCAATTGGGAATATTCCATTGATAGCATCCCTACCAACAGCACACAACAACTCACCTTGGAAAAAACTTTTCATGAAACAACCATCCAAGTTAATGATCCGTCTACACCCTCCACGTCACCCTTCTTTGACTGCATCAAAGCATATGTAAATCTTGCTGAAGTAATTCTTACCATCAGGCACTGTATCCACAAAAATTTTAACAGTGGATCCAGGATTTGATCTTTTAATGTCCTCGCCGTAAGACCATATTCTAGCATAATTTTCTGCAACTGTTCCTTCAACTAGACTCAATGCATACTTATTGGCTCGCCTACACAGACTCATACTTACAACAATGCCAAAAGTGGTTTTCACCTCCTCTTTTAGTAATATCACACTCATCTTCTGATTGTTGAAAAATTGTCGGATAAAGTGGGTACCTATCCATCTATAAGTTACAATTTATCCGAATTTGAAATTCTTTGAACAATTGTGCTCACTAATAAGAGATTTAATTTCGAAAGACTTATCATCGCTCATCCATGAACCCCAAACCCTAAATGTACATTTTCCATCACAACATTTGGCTAGCAACCGTCTACTATCATTTTTCACAAAACATAATTGATAACCATTTGCAACAACATAGTTACAGAGCATGTGTTTCAATTGTTTAGGACTCTCAAACCTCATACCTAACACAAGTTCCTGCTCATTCCAGTGAAGCTTTTCATTGAAAATGTTTGGCAACTGAGGATAAACATCTTCATCATCATCCATGGCTTCTTCCAAAGGGCCACCCAAAGCTGCATTCTCACCCATTTCGACATCAGGGCCATTATCCTTTTTGAAAAAATGAGGGCTGCTATGGCTATCCTCATCTTCATCAGCATCCACATCCTCAACCCCATGGTCATCCTCATCCTCATCATCATCCTCATCTTCATTTTCATCCTCATCATCTAAATGACATGTCTTAATTTCTTTAACTAGTCCTGCACCATCAAGAACTTCTTCCACTATGTTATCAACTACCTCTTCTTTGTGTTCTTCCAACCATTCCTGCATGTTAGTATTACCAAAATGGTCTACATACATAGGAAGTATAACACCACATTCATACGTATATTGCTATAAAATCGACATAATCCAACTCATTCGAAATTAAGGTCAGACCTTTGGGAAAATGAATATCTGGTTGGCATTAATAGAGCTTCGCACACTTTTCTCCGATGAACCTTTCGATAAATTCATAACACCCGTTCTTGTCCATGCCTGCGAAATCGATGTCCGACAACCTCTGAGTAATCCCCCCGGTGTATCGTATGGGGTATTTTGCAAAGATTCCTTGGAAATGCACATCGACTTGGATGAATACGGGATCCATGTTTGAGGTTTGAGGAGACAAAATGAAAGTAGGGGTTTATCGAACGACCTGGAAGTGGTGAATGGTGAACAGAATGAAAGATCTCATTTAAGTAAAACTATATATATATATATATATATCCAAATTATTATTGATATTCTAACTAGAGATGCACAAACCATGCATCCTATCTGATCCGGTTCGATGACGTCAAATCCAATCCGATTTCAGCCGATATCCGATCCGGTTTCAAACCGGTTTTGATCGGTTTTCCCTCCCCCGAGTCCAAATCGGTTTAATCCAATCCGGTGTGGATCCGATCCGATTTTTGCAATTTTTTTTTTAAAAAAATAACATTTTTTGGACCTCATATATAACACAAAATGCAACATAGGTTCATTAAAATAGTTAAAACATACATCAAACGTCGAAATAGAAAGAGTTTAGAAACTAGTTAACTAATAATAATAATAATAATAATAAAGTGGCGTTATAACATTTAGCCAAATAGAAATAGTTTTTGTGGTCTTCCACTTCGTGTCGCCTTCACTAAAATATTCTTCAACCGCCACGCAAATAGTTAGGGGTCTCATCTATACCATATTCTTCATCTTCGTCTTCGTCTTCGTCTTCATCGTCATCGTCTTCGTTTTCTTCCGGAGGTGTTGATAAGCCTTGTGCATATTCTTCATCCATGATCTCTGGTTCAATATTTTATGCTAGTGGGCCTTCTAGTGATGTCAAGTGTTGTATACATTCCACCGAATCCAAGTAATCCTTCAAGTAAACGCAAACCTCTACCGCAACCTAGGTAAGATTCGTCCTGAACTTTGATAAGACTCTACCACTAAAAGAAAAAGCGGATTCCGAAGCTACTGTGGAAGCTTGGACGGTTAGTAAATCGCGGGCCATGACGGAGAGAATAGGAAATTGTGCTTCCTTTTCTCTCCACCAAGCCAAAAGATCCAAAATTTTAAATTGTGGTGTACTAATGAATTTTAAAAAGTTTAACCCCATATAAATTCCAAGTTCGCTACTAGGGGTTAATGTGCGTGCTCTTTTGTTTTGTTCCTCCAAAAGGTAGTTATAGAGGTCGATATGAAAATCCGTTCGACCCCCACTACTACCCGATGCACCAGTAGTAGAGTCGGTTACACTTGCAAAAGTGTTTGACATATTGTCATATTTTGTAGCGTAAATGTCAAACAAATTAGTAAAAGTATTATTAAAATTGTGTATTTGGTTACGGATGTAGTTTGAGTCATCTTTGTGCAAATTTAAAGACATATAAATTTTGGTAATCAAAGCCTCTACACCCGTAACATTGATACATGGGTTTAATGCCGCGGCGCAAGTAAAAAGTGGTGGCATTTTTTGGAAATATTCGGCTAATTTTTCTCTCATTGGTCTCGTAACCAAAACAAATATTTCACTTCTTTGTTCAAAACGCTCCAATTGCGCGGACATCAACCATAATTCATTTAGTAACAACGGACTTGTAGGGTAATACACGCCCGATAAAAAAGTGGTTGATTGTTTACAAACTTTTAACATTTCCACAAACTCTTCCATCAAATCCCAATCAAAATCCGAAACCGGGTTTTTTCCTTTTGAAAATGTGTCGTAAAATAATTGCAAAGCGATTCTTTGACGTGTCAAACTTTCAAAAATCATGTACGTCGAACTCCATCTAGTGTCAACATCCCAATGAGGACTATATGAAGTTACGTTAATGGAAATGACAAACTTTCGATATTTTTCCATTGTAGCTTTATTTTTTCCAAAAACTCTAGTTAACACAGTTTTGAATTTTTCAATCGAATCTATCATTTTTAAACCATCTTGTACCGCAAGATTAATAATGTGACAAACACATCTAGTATGAAAAAACGAGCCATCCAAAATAGGTTTATATTTTGCAATTAATCTTTTTGCGGCGGCGGTTTTGTTATTTGCATTGTCAAACGAAATAGAGAAGATTTTGTCGCTTAAATTATAAGTCTCTATAACGCTTTCTAAAATTGCAAATAATCGTGCCCCCATGTGATGATGCGCAAAAAGTTCAAAGCAATAACTCGTTTGTTCATTACCCAAGTAGAGGGATCTATCCAATGTGTCGTGACGGCAAGATAGCTTTTGGGACAAATTCCGGTGGAGGATTAAACATCATAAGTTAAAGAAACACCGGTTTTTATATTTAAAAATCCCAATTGCATATCTTTTTTGGCTATATCACAATACTTTAAAGCATCACGTCTAAGAGAAGTGCGACTTACTTGCCGGTATTGTGGTTGCATTTTTTCCCGTAAAATCTTTGTTAATCGTGGGTTGTCGAAGTGGTTGAAAGACAAGCCCTCTTGAATCACGAACTTGCAAAAACTTTCACAAATGTCATCATTGTTGTAAATAAAGATCGCCCTGTCGATAGTAATATTTGGTTGATCCGGATCGCCTTGACCTTTTACAACCGGACAAGTTTTTGTTGTTTGGCTCCTCAACGTACTATTGCCATCTTTTCCCAAAAACATCCCGCACTTCTTGCATTTCGCTTTTTCCTTCCCGTTCGACAACAAACACAAATCATAATATTCCCACACTTCTTTATTCCGAGTGGTTGGTATGATTTTAACCACCGTTACATCCGAATCTTGACCCGCGGTAGAATTTCTCGAGCTCATTTTTGTGGAGTATTATGAAAATAGAAGTATAAAGTAGTCTAGAATTTTGTGTAACATCGAAATCTAGCAAATGTCATCTATTTATATGTGTTTTATTTATATGTGTTTAGAAGGTTATAAAAGTCAAGAAATAGTCAAACTATCCGTTTTTGGAGCTTGCTAACGGTTAGAAAAAAAATCGAAAATGCCCGTTTTTTAACGGTAAAAAAAATCCGGTTTCAGTAAAATCCGGTTTACGATCCGGGGGTCGATCCGATTTTCCATCCGAAGCTCCAAACCGGTTTCAATCCGGTCACCGGTTTAATCCGAACCTGTTCGGTCAAAACCGGTTTTGACCAAATCTGGTTTCCGGATCGGATCGGATCCTATGGGCCAATCCGGTTTTTGTGTGCATCTCTAATTCTAACAACTTGTAATGCTTGTTACAACAATAACTTTTAAATTTACCATATAATTTTATCGTACATAAATACGTATAGATAATTATTCATCTGCTAATAATATATAGAAATAACCGAGGAGTTCCAGATTTTATGATAAGTGGAAGATTGTGGGTTGCGCAACAATGAGAATGATGACAGACATGCCACCATATGGAGCTCCACCTTCATGCCACACCCTTCCTCAACCACAAATCTTTGTTTCTCTCACACGTCAATAACTTTCAAGGTTAAAAAACACAAATTCGAAACGTGGGGAATATATGAGAAACTGCAACTAATCATTATGGTTTTCGTGTGGTTCTTTTATTATTTGATAACAAAATGGGAACTTAAAAATTCAACAAGCTAGTGGGGCTGGAAATTTTGTCCTTCACTATCATTCAACAAACAATATATTAATCATAAATCCTAGGCCTGACAATTGGGTTGAGTTCGGGTTGACGGGTTGGCGGTTCAGAAAACATAAACTCAACCCAAACCATATAATATATAGGTTGACGGGTTGGTGGGTTGGAAACCTCAACCCAACCCAACCTATATAACTCATTTAAGTATATGGGTTCGTGGGTTCATAAGTTAATGGGTCAAACCCAACCCATATAACCCGTTTAATAAATAAGCAACACATTTTAAAAAATAAGGTTTTTTCAACATAAATTCATAAAATGATTAACGTAATTAACATAAAAAAAGGTTTTCAACATAAATTCATAAATTCAATAACATCCAAATAAAAATGAAAAATGAAAACATTCATAGAAAGTGCATGTGTTCTTCGTTCGTGACTCGTAAAAATAACATGTATTTTTTCTTTTTCTGATTAACGAACCGCAAATGCAGATTGGGTTGGCGGGTAGGCGGGTCCAAAATCCCAACCCAAACCCGTCTATTTTCGGGTTGGGTCAGTGTCGGGTTACGGGTTGGATCGAGAGTTCTCACCCTAATAAATCCATATGTTTATCACTCACTTTGGTTCATTATTCACAATTTTTTAATTCACTAGCATTGAGCAAACAATATGCTAATCAGAAATCCATGTGTCAGTCACTTCACTTTGTTTTGTTTTATTATTCACCAACCCACCCAGATCAACTATAAATAAACCCATGTTTTCCTTCCATTCTCGCACACTCAATACTGACTAGCCCAGCATTAAGCTAATCAGAAACAAAAAAAATTCGTCCTAAATAAGACCTTGATTAGTGGGCTTCAAATATGTCGAAAATGAAGGCACTAAGTCTAGCTAGTTTACTTGTGCTTTCCACTTTGGTCATGTTTTCTGAGAGTCGGGTGGCAAGAAAGGACTTGGTATTGAATTTGGGAGGGGTAGGTATTGGTGCTGGAATTGGAATTGGAATTGGGTTGGGAGGAGGTGGTTCAGGGTCTGGTGCAGGTGCGGGATCTGGGTCTAGCTCTTCATCCAGCTCCTCCAGCTCTAGTTCTAGTTCTAGTTCAGGATCTGGAGGAGGTGGATCAGAAGCAGGTTCATCTGCTGGTTCTCATGCTGGATCTGGTTCAGGAGGTCGGGGTGGTGGTGGAGGAGGAAGAGGGGGAGGTGGAGGCGGTGGACGTGGAGGTGGAGGTGGGTCTGGTGAGGGTTCAGGCGAAGGAAGTGGATATGGGTCTGGTTATGGAGGTGGTGGTGATTGAAAATAAGCAAATTTCATCTTTTGCTTGAGGGTGAGATCAGATTTATAAAATTTAATATTTTGTTTGTTTTAAGGTTGTGTGTAATTGGGTTTGTGTCATCACGTAATTGTAGCTTGTGTATAGAATAATGCAAAGTATATAAACAACTGTATATGCTTTTTGTTTAATGTATGTTTTACTTGTACGTTTTGTGCCAATAATATTGGGATGTAGTTGATGTTATTATAGCACCGTACTCTTTTAATTTTGGGGTAAATTTTTTATTCAATTTAATAGATTAGTTTTTTTTTTCATTAATCATCTATTTTTATTTCTCGTATACTTAAAACAAATACTTTGAACTTATATTAGTTTTCAAGATCAAAATCATTTTAATTCTTGTATCATTTTGCTTAGCTAGGCTTCATGGCATGTAGAATGAGGTTGCATTTGATTTTATTTTTGCTTCAATCATATGTCCTAATCTTCTAATTGTCCCAGGCATGTCATTCTATGTAAAGTTTCTTTGACATACATCAAAACTTTAAGAACATAACACTTATATACCAAATGTAATTCTAGGTTAGTTTTACATTCACACCAACATATATGATTTTGTTTTTTTTCACTCTTTTAGATAATATGGAGTTCTATGTATACATAGAAGTTAGGGTTGTAGTAACGGTTTTGGTGTAATCTAATTTCTTAGACTTTTGCAATAAAACCCGAGATCCAAGAAGTTATTTCATTCTAGTTTTCGTTTTTGGATTAGTCCAAAAAAAATCATGTCGCAAACGAAATGAGTCAATAATGTCCCATATCTATGCCCTACAAGTGTAAGGCATCCATGTTTGTACCGTATAATTACAACGAACCTATGTACTACATAGTAAACCGGTCTGAGATTTCTTTTTCTAAGATCCAAACTGCATATCATACCAAGTCCTTAGCTTGAGGGGGCGTATTAGACACTATTGTAATTATTTTAGACTAGAATGTATCTAAGTGTAATACTTCTCTCTCTCTCTCTCTCTCTATATATATATATATATATATATATATATATATATATATACACACACACACACGGATCTATTGTAACCTATTTTACAATACAATACAATTCACAATTATACGATTCTTTACCACATAAAATTTAAAGAACAATAAAACATTTTATTTTTAAAAAAACTTATATCATGTTGGTGATTTTAGTATCATCAGACATTTAATTCGTGATACTCAGACATAAAATCGAAATATCAATTTGGAAAGTGATCTTACACGATCTACAAGGAATCTGAATATCCATACCACCATCATCCTATTTGTCACTACACGCTATTTCTTATTCTATCTTAGAGTAAAAAATAAAGTTTAAATTAATTCATCTTCAACTCTACTCTACTTTATACTTTATTTTGACACCAAAAATAATATTCTAAGAATATGTTTTTTTTGTAAATATCTCTTCAGTTTACAAGGTTTATACAAGTTTATTTAGAATCTTTTTGTTAGAATTGTTAAATAAATATAACTAAATAAATAATTTGCATAAAATAATTCAAATTAAATGTGATATAAATAAAACAAATAATGTTTAAATAAATAATTTCATTCATAATATAATAAAATAAATATACACTCTCGTTTAAAGAAATGTTATACATATATTAAAGAAATATAACACTTATAGTTATATATCATATCATCTCTAATAAATGAAGGTTTTTTTTGCCACTAGTCAAATTCTCAAGAGTTTTACCACATGTAATTTTGTAGGAATTTTAGAATTATTATTTTCCATTTGTCATTTTTTGAGAATTTTCATTTTTTAAAATAAAATTCCATAAAGTTCTAACAAATTTTATAAGGAAATAAAATCATTCTATTAATTTGATAATAAATGATCATAAATGCTCTAAAGAATATTTGATTTCTTTTATAAATGTTCCAAAAGATTACATTATATTATATAAAAGTGTTATTTTATAAAATATTTAATGTTTATATATTTATATTAAATTTTTATTTTTAATAAACCCGTGTAATACACGGGTCTCACACCTAGTCACCTAATAAATTACTAAAAAGTATCGGTACTTTAAATACATTTAAAAAAATCATCATATTTATAAGTAGAAGATATGTTTGTGCTTTGCCAGAGGACGGGGTTTACTTTCTTTTTTACTACAAGCCACAATAGTTCAGTCGCTGCTAAAAAAATATCAGCATTTTTTTGAAGACGGTCTTAAATGAACTAGTCTACAATATATTATTCCATTGAACAAACTCCTTTATGACCATCAGTAATTTCAAAACCTCCATAGAAAGGAGTCATCAATCACTAGAAGTTTTATATTAAGGTGATTCATCCCATGGAAACTGCATCTCATCGGAAAGTTATCGACTTGGTTAAAGAAAACAATGCTCAATCCAAGGATAATGTTATTGCCATTATGATTGACATAAAGGTAGAATTCATCTTTTGTCGGGGTTTTTTTGCTAATATTTTAGAAGGAATCATAATATTTTCATCTGTCTATCGGGCCTAAAGTCGGGAGTCGGGATTTGCCACGACTAGTTAAGTTAGTAAATGGAGAAGAATTCACTTTCACAATAAAAAGGGGTGTTGGGAAATAGTGACAAGCTTTTGGTTGATGGTATGCTAAAAATGACCTTATACATCACAACAGACTGTTTTACATTCAAGATATTTACTTGAAATAGATTAGGTCAATTTTCACAACTTGAAAACATAAATAACAGCAAATGCTTATACATAGGTGGGTTCAATCATTGTACATTACGCGAATCAATTACATAAAAAGTAATATTAGAATTAAAAATTCTAAATTTAATCACATATGACTTAACTGGCAGATTTTGAAAGTGCTACATGATGGAAAACCAATTGATATTATCTTATTTAAGGAGGAAGAATGTTGCAGCTCATGAGCTTGATGAATAGCGAGATTTTTCTAAAAGCATCATGATATTTTGCCAACAACCTTACAGAGTCTGGAATAGTTGAGATCATTATGTAACGCCCGTGTTTTCTACTAGATTAATCATAGTCTGTAATCACTTTGGTCAACTAATGTAACATTTATATGAATGAATAAGAAAGGATTATTCATATATTTATGTGCTTATGTGTGTTTTACACGATACTTTATGCAAAAAAATATAAGTATTTAATAATATAATAAATACGATTAAAAATACGCATCGAAGATAAAAGATCACTTATGACAAATAATCGTAACCTAACTGTCTGTTAGCGGGTGTTTATATAGATATTTGTATTGTATTTTAGGATGTCCAATATGTAGTGAGGTCTTTTATGTATTTATGTATTTCAGCCCATTTGTAAGAGGTATATATTTCCTGTTTAATGAATAGACTGATTTTATGGGAAAATATCAAATCTCATGGTATCAGAGCCGTAATATCTTGCTCTCCTCTTAAACCCTAGACGTATTCTTCTTCTATTTTCTTCATCATCGTTTTTTCTCTGTGATCCTTTTGAACCATGTCTTCTTCTAATTTCTCATAAAAACCAACTTCTACCATTAATATCAAGCATGTTGTTCCGATTGTTCTTGATCTTGACCAGATGAACTATGATATCTGGAGGGAACTATTCGAGATCCACTGCATTGGCTACGGGGTAGCTGATCACCTTGTACCACCGACTCTAACTCCTTCTTCTTCGTCAACTGAGAAAGCTCCTGAGAATACTCAACCAATCACAGAAACTGATATCTGGAAACGTAATGATTCGATTGTGAAATCATGGCTCTACGGTACTCTTTCTCTCCCGCTTCTTCACCTCATCTTCAAGAAACAAACCCCTGTTCATGAAGTCTGGGAAACCATTGAAAAAGTGTTCTGTGATAATAAAAATAACAAGGTTATTCAAATTGACAACGAGCTCCGAAATATTACTATGGGTGATTCTTCTATGGTTGACTATTGTAATCGTGTCAAGTCACTTGCTGATCTACTGGAGAATATGGATGCAAAGGTTTCGGAAATTAATCTCGTTTCCTATATGTTAAATGGACTATCCGCCAACTACCGCCATATCGCAACCACCATTCGTCATCAGTGACCGGTTCCATCTTTTTGGGACACACGTTCTATGCTTGTGCTTGAAGATCAACAACTTTCTCAGGATCAGAATCGCTCCTCCTCAGCCTATCATTCCGATCATTCTTCATCTCCAACGGTTCTCATCGCTGACTCCACTCATCAAAATACTAACCGGGCCGGTTTTCGTGGAGGGAGAAGCGGATGGAATCACAGAGGTGGTCACAACGGAGGAAGGAACGGTGGTCGCCAAAATAATGGCGGACAACAACAACATCAAAGGAACTTCAAAGGAACTTCTGGTTGGGCCTTTGGGTGGTATCCAATCAACAATCAGTCGAGTATCTTAGCAACACCACCGGCCCACTCTGCTGCCCCACATCAGACCCAGCCCACTGGACCGAGAATGCCACCTGCCCAACATAATTCTCATCAGTTTTTTGGGCCTCCAGCTCAAAGTCTATTTACTCAGCAAGCCTTCAACACTGTTCAACAACATATGGGATCCTCCGAGCATCCCACTACACTCCCGCAAATGTTCCAAACCATGTCACTAAATAATCCCGGGAACGCAAATTGGTACATGGATACCGGAGCCACCTCTCACCTTCACTTGGATGCAGGTATACTCTCATCTAATTTAGATAAAAGCAAATATTTATCTTCATCGGTTTAGTTGGAGACGGATCCCCAATTCCTGTGACCAATCAAGGTCACACCACTCTTCCGCTCCATAATTCATATCGTACTCTTACTCTTAAAAATGTCTTAATTACCCCTCAAATCATAAAAAATCTAATTTATGTTCGTCGTTTTACTTGTGACAGAGTAAGCGCACTCTCATGCAATGTGACAGCTCCGGTGACCTCTATCCTGTCACAAAGTCGCCTCAACAAGTTTTCACTTCTATTGCCTCGTCTCTATGG